CAGCCCCCAGCCCCCACCTCAAATCAACCTTCCCAAAACAACACTCAACCATCACAGCACACAAGAAAGCCCTACCCACTATGAGTGAGTAGAAACCCAACAGAAATAGCAACATGTATATATATATACCCACACACACATACACATAGGTCCTATATTTCAGACCTGCAAACTCTGCTTTTTTTAGGTCGCGACCTTAATCCAGGCAACTACATTGAAAACATCAAACCCCCATGTGGACAGTAAAAGGTAAAAAAAAAAAACATTTTTCAGTAATTCATTTTCCACAATGACATGTTAGCCGCAAATTAGCACAAAGCTTACACATATATCTCTAACGTCTTGCTGTTGCTTGTAAGTTAAAAGCCCAGCTGCAGATGCTTGTTCACTGCTATGCTAAGGCTGGTCCATGTCAGGCGAGACAGCCTCTTACCTTCGGCGGAGAGCCCCTGTATGTTCACACCTCTGGCTTCGAGGAAACTGAGGCAGGCGTCCACATTCTCGATCTGGAACAGAAGACACGCGCCCGGTGAGGACGGCCCCGGAGAGCCGGGGCGATCCACACCGACTGCCCACAAAGCAGACACTGTTCGTCTGTGGCAGACCCCGGCGTGACCCCCGAGGCGGACATGCCCCGGCAAGGCCAGGCGACCCACCCACGCCAGAGCGTTGCCGCCCGGACACGATTGACAGCTCAAGGGAAAGAATGCAAGCTTGGCCGCTGGGGGTGAAAAGGCAACACACACTGGAAGGTTCTATGGTCTGTCGTGGGATGACGAGAGCGGCGACATGTTTGTATATGGCGCTCGTTCACTAAAGGAGTCTTTCATGTCATGGCCGAACTGGGTCAGCAGTGGGTAACCAACCACAAACCAGCGCCCTTCACACATTTCCACACCTATTCATGCCTATTAACAGTGAGATTCACATGATCCTACATCATCTGACATTGTAACATGCTGGTTTATACGATAATCCCATAACAGGCTCATTCCGTGAATCACTTCCTGTTTGCCACGCGAAGAGCCTGATGAAATGGCCCTATTCCACAGAGACTTGTTTGTTTGTGGTAAAAAACAGTAATTTTATCATGTCTCTCAGCCAGTATGACACCACATAAATCATGCGAAGGCCTGAATCTGTCTGAGAAGAAAGAAAAAGCACAATTTATGCTCTGATGTACAGAGAAATATGTCTGGTTTGACTGTGTTGCTGGATCCAAGCAGGACCGTGATGCTGGAGGTCAGAACAAAATAAAAATGTGTGCACACTTCTTAAAGAAGCAGGATATGGCCCATGATGGCCAGCAGGCTCCACACACCCCAGGGAGAAGGAAAAGAACCAGCAGAAGCCCAAAATGTGGTCAGGACCTTGTGCCCAGAAGCTAAGGATGAGCAGGACCTTGTGCCCAGAAGCTAAGGATGAGCAGGCTGATACTGGAAATTCGATTATTTCGATCAAAATGTTTCACTTCGGGAATCGATTCTAACATTAAATTATGGATTTGTTTTTTTACCTGGTAATTTAAATGTTCATATTATTACACGGAGCTGGACATAAATTACCACTGGGCAAGGCAGCCCGTAATGGGGGAGAACAGGGAAGACTTTCAGTGGCCCGACATCAGTAACTAAGTAAATGGAACCAAGGATCTGTTAAAACACAACACATTTGGTCCCCACAATGTAATATATACCTGGCCCACACACACACACCCCACTTGAAATCTCTACTGGATCACTTCAAATGTACAGGATTACAGTAACGCTCCTCATATTTTTTGATTTGGTAGATAAAGGACACCCATTTGGTAACAGCATAACCAGAGGACAAACACAACACAGCTGATGGTCCACAATACTATAAATGCATTTGTGTAAAACAAGCACGGATCAAATTAAAGCAGCGCCTTGGGGCAGATATGTCCCATGTTTCTGCGTATAGGTTTTAATTACACTTTTCATCTTTATGTTTTCCCTAATGGCTTTGCGGTAATTATTTCCAGTGATCTCGCGGCAGGTTTGTCATCACAAAGCGCATCTGTTCTCAATGTCTCGACATGGGGGAACACATGGCAGAGGAAGTGAGCATCTAATGGGTGACACGAGTAAACAGACCCCGCAGATGGGGGCACAGGCTGGAAGCAAAACGGCATTTAAGGTGTTAAGATACTGTTCTAGGCTGGGGCGGTGCCTGATGCTCCATACCATCACAGATACTTTCATCACTGTATGCTGTTTTTTGCTGGTATTTTTAAAATTTTCATTTATCGCCTAGACCTGAATTATCGTGGTATACCCAAAACTCTTAATTATACTATATTACCACCCAATCTCATTAGTGACCTCTCATTACTATCCCGTTGCTTAATAGTTTGGCATAAGCGATGTGCTATTTGGGAAGTTGAGTCCATCACGAGTCACACACTATTCCACACTATAGGCAATTCAGATACAGCAGTTCACATCGTTGCACATTTTTGGGCTATGGAACACAATGGAGAAAAACCAAATGATACAGGGAAACCATGCCAAGTCAATAGACACAGAGCAAAGGGGGGGGATTTGAACCCACAACCGCAGAGTTGCAGGACCTCAGTGCTACCGAAAGAGCCACCGGGGATGAGCCCAACCACAGAGCGTCATTCTCCTAAATTACAAACCCAAATACGCAGTTATACGCTTTACCACCATCTGAACAAAGCGTTATTTGTCAGGTGATTCCATTTTTTACTGTCAGAACATGTTATAATTGTGTTCAGGCAAACAGCCTATGCAATTATGGGAACGATTTGGGGGATTGGATGTTTGAAGGATAAGCAGTATTTTGTTTTCATTAAGAGTCATTTTGGTAACAATGTTTTTAATAGTGTGGCTTTTTTAACAGCTCTGGAAGAAACACTGATCATTCGGGACAATGCAGATTTCTGTAACAGCATCCAAGAGACATAATTAAAGGCAATTTGGAAAGAAGAATGATCCGATAAAAAGGCAATTCTGCCACATATAATGCATTTGAATTCTGTTGTAAATTTAGCTTTTTGGATAATGAATGCTGATGGGGCAACAGGCAAAAAAATTACACACACACACACACACGCACACACACACATTTGTAATCATATCTTTGTGGGGACCGTCCAGAAATTATATGGGAAAAACCCTAATCTCAACCCTAACCCCTTCCCAGCCCTAACCTTACAAACAAACCCAACAAAACACTGATACCTATCCAATGCACAGTACACTGAATAATGTGACTGAGCTTCCACCACTATTCATTTACATCATAAATCAGAAGTTTTATTCAGGAAGAGAATCCAGGGAGTAAATGAGGTTTCAGGCGATTTTCCGATTATCCGGTTGTCCAATGCAGTGCGAATAAAAGAAACACCTAAATCAAAGTCATATTATATCAAAATCATATCACAATCAGAATCTCAATGAATACAAGCCTTCAGATATTACAAGAAACAAAACAATGTGTAACTGTAAGATAATGATGAAATTGCTTAGACATATAATCAAGTCCCTGCAACCCAGAAGGATAAGCGGGTTGGAAAATGGATGGATGGATGGATGGATATAATCAAGTCAAATACAAACACATATAAAAAAACTAAAAAACGTAAAATCTGAGACAATGCATTAAATATAATTATATATAAAGAGTGAAATAACACAATTTAAAGATGATTTTGTAATTAAATTAATTTATGAACAGCTGTTTGGTATGCTATATTGCAGCCATTCCAATATTAAAATTTTTGGAGATGACTTTTAGATGGGGGAGCATATTTCACAAGAGGTGGTGCAAACTCACAAACAGAAAGCAAAGAAAACATGTCTGAAGTGCACAGACAGGGATCTGAGCGAAGTGGGGCATGCCTCTGCCACTTTTTACAAAAGGTGTTTACGGCAAGCTCGCCACGCGGCGTATCAGGACTGTCTCCTTGATTTATGTCAAGCACCTTACTGGAGTCGGCTATCCCAGCGTCCTTTGCAAAAACACCAGCGCCCAGAAGGGTGACGAATGAGGAGATGACGCCCTGTTGATGGCCCATAAATTCTTGCGGCCGCTTAAGTCTAATTAGTAACCCAATCGTTTTTATTGAGGCCATGCGTCCTTAAAACGCTTTACAGCACTAACAGGCTTTAATCACTCTTTTAGAGGCTGAGTTGACCACAACGGGCCTTTGAAGCCTGAACTCTAACAGCTTGACGGCACTCTTTCCATGTAAACCAGGAGCAGCAGGGACCCCAGTTAACTTCCCTCGCTGCTGGTCTGGGGGCCTATGGCATCTCAGCCTTTGGGTCACCACGGGTAACTGACCAGCGGGAGAAACACCACATTAACAGCCTTCTGCTTCGGGATCATTCTAGGATTTTCTTTAATATGGGGAGGCTTAAGAGGAGCCATATTCCATATAGAGGGGTCAAATTTATTAATAGCCAATGACATGTCTTGAATCAGAGACACAGGGCAAGAGGCCCTCTGGGAACCAATCAGATCTCAGCTGCCTACGAATTGACGAGGACCTTACACGTAGATAGCTCTACTCTAGTGGGCCCTGTGAAATTCCAAATCAATTTAAGATTGAGATGCAGAAAAAGTTGTCACTTCTGGTCTGTGAATGTCTTGCCTGCAAACAAAGGCCCCACCTGCATTAATAAATGCCATATGACGTATCCATGTTTGCTGCTAAAACAAAAATGATTATATGTTGTTTACTTATTTATTTTATTCAGCTGAAGCATTTGTCCAAAGTGATACATGTGAGGCAAATAGCACATTACAAACGTCAAAACCCACAAAAAGCTTATAGAAAATTACATTTTAACACTGTATACAAATACATTTATGTAAAACAAAATGTGTGAACGATACACTTCCCATCACAGACAAGCACCTGCTAACCAAATGAAAATGAAAAACTAAAGTGAAAGCGAGTGTGTTTGGGTTCCTATATATTGCTAGTTTCTGTTTCACTTCTCTTTGAATTCTCAAAATTTGTATGCTCTGTGGGTGTTAGAGGCGAAAACTAGAGAATGATTGTAACCGCATTCTTAGCACGTCAGAAGGTTATTCTCCAGCTTTCATGCGCTCTCGCAAAGGCGACATGCACTCTAGCGAGCAAACTCAAGGCGCAAATAAAAATATCAATGAAGCTACAAGACTAGAACAATTACTGAATCATCACAAACCTGATTTCCTCTTTAGGAAGTTCTTTTTATTTCCATCTCAAACGTGTTTATTTATGTGATATGTGAAGATGGCTCCTCCGGCAATGTGTTGAGACAGAAATAGCAAATGAAACGGAGATCTGCAAATGCTCATCTCGCACGCCACCAAATAAAAACAGACAGCAATTTGCAGGCCTCAGGACTGCCCGGGCCTCTCAGAATTTACTCTGCGTTCCAGATCCCGTGAAATTATCCAGCTATCATCGCGACCCTGGCGGCTGGCGGAGTCTCTTTGACCTTAGGATTCATTTTAATGCTGCCATTTTCCCTGTCAGACTCATACACACATAAGCCAGATGCATCAAAGCAGATCCAGGCTAAACGGCTGGATTCGGACAGACAGGGATGGGACCAGACGGCAGACCCCATGGTCTTTCAAGTGAGCAGTTTTCCGGTTATGGTCAAGGTGGAAGAAGAGTGTAATGGTCTCCAGCAATGCCGCAGGGACCATTAACACCTAACGCTGCTGTGAATTCCTGCCCTGACCCTGGAGCAGGGCACATGGAGCAGGCAGAGTGGAAAGGTGCACCAAACATGCAGTTTTATGCATCAGTGGGCTGCCTAAATGATTCCAGATTGAGTGACATAATGGTTTAGCGAAACCCAACGCAGAGGATGTCCGACAATCAAAGTTAAAATCAAGGAGATGAAAGGACAGAATGGATCAGGACTGTGAAGATAGAGAAGTCAACTTTAAAAAACGCAGAGATAGCCAGTACTGCAGGTGTGAGCAAAGCGTTTAGAGAGCAGTCTGCATAAACCCCAGCCCAACATCAGCTCAGCCAGGCTGAACACAGATAACGACTTACACATCAGTCCCTTTTTAAGCAATAGGCTCTTTCCTTATAATGACAAAACAAATGGAAATAGAGACAAGTGGAAATAGAGACTTTATACCCTGTTGGGCATAAGGTCAATGAATGCCATACCATCTGCTCCCAGGATCATGCCATAAAGATGCAAACTTCAGCTCAAGGTCTTTGGTTTTAGTCCCAGGGCACTCAAATTACACCAGTAAATGAACTACCACTATAAATAGCCAATTAAAATGCTTAAGGGGCAGCAGGGGCCATGCTGAGGTCTGAAGTTGGAACACTTGGAGACTTTAAGCAAACTGCTAGCTAAATAACTACCACAGGTAGCTTGCTGACAATATTTATTTGTAACAGCAGCACATAAAGCTGTCTGGAGGTTGATGCTGCTGTCTTTTTGTCACGCAGACCGGCGACAGATGGGGCCCAGATTATTTCCTCTGCTTCACCCAAGCAAAGCACTGGTTAATTCTACTGCGCTGGCCACGCCAGGTGGCATGATGAAGCAGCTTGCTACAGCATATATATATATATATACGTATATAAAAACAAAACGTCACCCTTCCTGCCAATGGTCTGTCTTCACATGGACTGCATTCTCCAGCCCCTTGTGTGTGAACCCCGATGCACTTAATACTGCTATATTATGCAACAGGAGGTATTGCTTTGATCAGCCTTACAGTTCATTAATTAGCCGTTTAATGAGGCAGATTAGTTTACACGCTGGGTGCTTTAAATCCCACTCTGCCTCCCACACACCTGTCCATCAAATATTTTCAACACAAACAGCACTGGAGTTATGCATCAGTGAAGGATATTCTGTCATAATGCATCGGGTTAATGAGGAACGCATGGTTAGTGAGTCTCCATGCAGAAAGATTAAAGACGCGCTCACTTTCGCGGCCCTCAGCATTGGGTCTTGGAATGGGACATGTATCCGAAACACTGCGCGATGCGTGTTCCGTGGGCGATTACGGGCCATGATTAATGCACCAGAGAAGGACCCGACCGAAAAGCGGAAATCTTCCTGATGCCAGTCTTGCAAAGCATTTGAGGTAACGTGTGCAAAGAAGTTTGGTAAAACCGCAACGACCCGAATGGTAAATGCGTCAAGGCACATTTTTGGTAAGGATGCTGATTTGTGAACGTGGTTCTTAAACAGGCATCAATTTTTCCATGTCAGCACCTACATCCAGGGGCACAGGAACCAGGGGGGACGCGTACCCCCAATAAATAGACCATTGCACTTAAATCTTTATCAAATGCTCTCCTACGCCCTTGCTGACATCCATGAGAGGCACTTTCTTATAAGCATCATTGTTTATCTATAAAGACTACATGAATATGTTGTTTACCTTCAGCAAATTGTGTCCTTGAGACTAGTGACTAAGATCCTTCCAAAGGCTCTGAAAAATGCACCACTTACACAAACCAGTGTAAACAACAGTACAGGGAGCACACAGCCCAGTTTCACTTCTGCAGGAGTTTCCACAAGGTACTTTCCCTCAGAAACACACCCAGACAAAAAGAACATCAGAGCCGTGTGGCCGCATGTCCTCCACAACCTTTTGTCCCTACCTGTAACTTGGGGGGGGGGGTTCCCAGGGGGGTTGGCGACCACCAGGAAGCCCGGATCGATCACGCTGCTCGGAGCCCCCGGTACCCAGTCGAGTCAAAATCGGCGTTGTGGGCTCTGCTCATTCGCATTGAAGTTTTTACCCCCAAGGCCAAGGGGTGGACCACTGCACCCCCCCCCCTTCCTCATGAGCAGGTGCACAGTCATAGTGCACCAGGGTGGGGGCTGAAACAAAGCGGAAGCCCCCCCCAGGAAAAAGGGCTGGCGGCTGCGGCCAGATGCCTGTAGAGTTGCTGGGGGCTGCCCTTAGCGACCGGCGCGCGGTTACAGTGGGCCAGAACCACTCCATTTATACACGCCGGGCCTCAAGCCAGGTCCAAGACCCACCTCCCTGTCCAGCCACACAAATCCCACTCTGAACAGCCCTTCCACCCTTTGGAGTCCAAGATTAGCGGAAACTTCAAGGAGGTAGCTTGGAATCAAAGATGACGAGGTGAAACTGTTAAAGCCTTTTTTAATTACAGCAGGCAAAACACCTGGATTTAGAAGAAAATAAAAATGTCCACAAGCAGAACAATATTAAGAGGTTTGCCGATTATTCATCTCAGAGTGTACTGAGATTAGGTGTTTGGCTTGGGGAATTTGCAGAGGGAAGTTTTGGGGGCCTTATTTCAAGGCAACAACTTGGGAGATAATCTCTGATGCAATTTGTCGACTGACCAACTGACTTTGATTGGCCCAAAGCTTAGCTACCTGAAACAACATGTCATTAAGAAGACAGCAGTGAATATGATAAATGGGCCCCTCGTGGAGGAATTCTGCTTACTCGACACACTCACAGAAACTCAGCACACTCACAGAAACTCAGCACACTCACAGAAACTCAGCACACACACAGAGACTCGGCGCAAGAGACTCGATGCACAGAGACTCGGTACATGCATGGAGTCTCGACATACTCAGGGAGACTCAGCACATGCATAGAGACTCAGCACACGCATGGAGACTCAACACACGCATGGACACTTGGCATACACGCAGAGACTTAGCACACTCATGGAGACTTGGCACACGCAGGGACTCACACACACACAGACTCGGCACACGCACGGAGACTCGGCACATGTACAGAAACTTGGCACATGCACGGAGACTCGGCACACGTACAGACTCGGCACACGTACAGACTCGGCACACGTATGGAGACTCAGCACACGAACGGAGACTCGGCACATGGACAGAGACCCGGCACACAGACGGAGACTTGGCACACACACGGAGACTCGGCACACGAACGGAGACTCGGCAAACGCACGGAGACAGAGCACACACATGCACAGAGCAGCGAGGGGTCAGTCAGAGCAGCCACTCAGGTAACACGCTGTACTCACCATCTGAGAGTGATTCCTGGGGCAGCCATTGATGTCTTCCACCTTCTCATTAGCTGGAAGAGAAAGGGGAGCCGTGTGAGTGTGGCAGGGAGGCCGTTAGGTAACCCCTCAAACCTGCAGAGCGGCCTCTCTGCCCCAGGCCCCCCTCCTCTGGGGGACGTCTGCCTGGCAGCATGATGTGTCCCCTTCCTCAGCGCAGGATTAACAACAGAGAAAGAGCACCAGTCCGCCAGACTCTCTCTGACATCAGGGGGCGACAGGGGGCGGTGGCCCATGACTGGGGGGGGGGGTGTTTAGCAAGGACCACTTCAGGCCAGTTGAGGAACCCACATGGTAAACACATGGTTCCATGGAGCCCCAAAGGCTCACAGTCCCATTTTTTGTGCTGCCAGGCAGTTCTCCTCAGCGAGCCTCTAGTTCAAGATCTAGGCCGAGGCCGACATACCAGGGAGACTCAAGGTTCCAAGGCAGGGTGCCCCGTAGCAAACCCAAGGTCCTGAGGCAGGACGTCCCAAGGCAGACCCAAGGTCCCAAGGCAAGGTGCCCCTGTCCTCAGTGGGACAGCTTTCAGGTTTCTGACTACATGCACATGATTCTCATGCAGACTCCAGTGTGCTGGCAACAAGCATGCATATACCTGTACGCATAATGTGCATTGAGCATGCATGCATGCAGGATGTATACGTGCAGCTATAATGTGCATTGAGCATGCATATGTGCATCGTGTGCATTGAGCATATGTGCATGCCTTTTTTTTAAAAGCACGTGCATACGCATGCAATGTTATATCTCTGCCTCTCAGTCTGCAGATCTGTTTCTACATGGGTGCTGGGGCACATGTGTGATATAAGTGTGTATATCCAAGCCACAAGGGCTCTCACCTATGATCTGGATGATCTCTGCCAGCAGAACCCCGTCAGCAATGTCCTGCGTCAGGTCCTTGATAAGCCGCGGGCAGCCGGACTTGGCCAGGTAGTGATTGGCCCAATCCGTGTAAATCTGGAGGGGCGAGAGAATCACATTAACAAGGCTGCTGGCTACACTAGCTAGGTGTGGAAAATACTCTGTACCTCAAGATGCTTGGGGCTCTACAGCAGTTTAACGTTTCCCTACATGCAGCATGAGTCATGTTTGTTTTGATAGCATCGTCATGAAATAGGCACTCACTCACAGATCATGCCAGTCTCCTCCAGACGGAGAGCATGTTAGCCAAACATAAAAATAAACACTACGTCTTAACCCGGCAGCCGTGTGACGAAAACACCTCAGACTATTTGAAGGGAAGTTCTAGTGGAAACTAAATAATTAGACAGCTATCGACCATCAGGCCAGACTGTAAAACCACGGGGAATGACATCCACATTGCAGACAAGGGGAATCGGCAGAACTTTAAAGACTAATGACGTTCAAACGAGACATTTCTCTTGGCATGTAAAACTAATATATTCTGCATAAACAACATTTTATTTAAGATAGAAGTAATCCAGCAAGTTTTTTTGGCCAAACCTAATGATTTCCTTCTGGAGGAAACAGATCTACTGCAGGACGCTTCTCGGTCAGAGTGCCTACGGGTGATGTATGTTGGCTGTTTACTCTGATATCGCGTCCATGTGGAACGCAGTTTCATTGAACCCAGTAAGTGAAAGGATGCCGCTTATTGATGCCCACAAGCAGAAAAGAAACACATGCTGACAGAAAAACTAATAAAACTGATATATTTATATCTTGCACAAAGTCTGTTTACAACTCGTCACATGACCTTTAGGAAGCATGGAGTGGTGTGAATTGGGCCTTCCCTTTCTCCCCATACCAGAGGGAAGGAATTCCTCAGGTGTTTAACGGCGGAGCCCCTGGCCTGGTCCGGAAACCCCATTCAAAAGCCGACCTCTCTTAACGAGCCGATTAATCCCAACAATGTTTTTCCCCCCTTCATTTCCCACGCTGGATGAAGCAGTGGCCCCCCCTGGCTCGGTGTTTTCGTTCAGGCACAGTGGAACATACTCCCTCCCTCCCAGGCAGATGCTGACAATGAGACACCTACTGTACCAATGTGGTCCTGAAGGTCTGGCACTCAACATCAGAAAAAAACAGAAATACTTATTAATCTGCTTAATCCCACGTTTTACTTGTTACAGGGACCCCCGGCTCAGCCCTGGCCCTAGTAACTGCATTCATTCTCAATTTGGGGGGGGGGGAGCTTTCAGCTGCCCTTCAAAGACACCAGTGTTCAAAGGCTCATCTGTTGTGGTTTTGTTCCCTCGCAGCTTGACGAGACGGGGGCTGCCTTAGCGCCCTCTGAGACCACAAGACCGTTAACCCCCCTGGTAAATAAACATCACGCACAGCACATGCCGCAAAAAAGGGAAGTGGCAAGAGATCGAACCCCCCCCCCCGCCCCAATGCCATGGAACAGCCAAAGAGTTACTGTATTAATGGTGAATATGTGGGACAATCAACTTCATAAGGGAGAGGTCAACTTCAGATCATCTTACTCAACCACAAGTAGAGTGAAAGGCAACCAAAAACATTCTTACATGTCGTATACAAACATCCAACCAGCATCCCAATAGCAGAAAATCTATGGGAAAATAATCAGCTTTTTTGCTACAGATTCAGAGCTCAAACTTTGATTGGATTTTGTTCTTTTATACCATGCACAAGATTTAGCAGCTACACAAACGTTGGCAACACATCGAAGGACATCTAGGCATTCAGTCAAACAAATGGCACCTGGAGCTCTGCTTACACTCCTGCCCTGTCTATCGGGGAGCAAAGTCAAGGCAGAATGATGATCCTGATGCATTTCACAGCCAAAGAAAGCGAAGGATCAGAAAATGCGCTTTTACGGAGCATGGCATTGTCACAGTGAAGGACGGAGGACACTTAACCAAGGTTAAACTTCCTCATCCCCACGCTTCTCAAATGGATCCTCAGAAGAAAAGAGGAGAAAGGCTACAGTGTCATAAAAGAGACTCTCAAGCTGTCATTCTCTCAGACGCAAAACAAAAAAAAAAAAAAGCAGAAAAAAACCCACAAGTCACCTGTGCCCAGTGTGATCCAAAGAGTGATTCTCACCGGACAGGAATGCTGGCTTCTGCTCTTCAGGTCAGGCGGCACACGGCACCTTTTTCCCTCGGAGCTTTGCACATGTGCCCTGGCTGGCTGCGCAAACGCAACACGGAGCCTCACGCCTCTCTGTTTCAGTCCCCTCACACGCACACGCACATGCACACGCACACGCACGCCTCGCTCGCTGTCAACCCTCGACGAGTAACGCTGAGGTTTTCGGTGCCTCGCCGTCCTGCCAGAACCTCCTCCTGACGGGATCCTTCAGAGGGGTCCCGTCAGTCNCCCCCCCCCCCCTGCCCCCTGGAAGAAAGAAACCCCATAAACACCTCAGAATCTCTGGCAGCTGCAAAGCTACGAAACAGTGTGTTATACCTCCCAAAGCCGGCAGACAGGTCTCTCTCTCTCCGGTTCCTCGCCACAGCAATCTGCTCTAACGCCAGCATGACATCGGCCTTGCAGGGTAGCGGGCCGAACCACCGCTCTGCGGTGCAGGTACCGCGCACTGAGGCTCCCCCCCCTCTGCAGGGGGGTGGGAGCACGGCAAGCTCGCAGCAGCAAGAGGCGGGGGGGTGCCACACAGCTGCGGCTCAACAGCGTCTCCCAGGGCCAATCAGAAGTCGGCGCCGTTTTCATAAATATTAATACAGAGGACCGCCACGCGACTCACGCCCTGAGAGAGCAGATAAGGCGGTGGAAGCATCTGGATATTAAAGTCCAGAGATAGTTTTGGAGAACATGCTGCATGCATGGGCGAATCTGAAGCTGCCCAGCGGGATTCTGAAAGGACTTCAGGTGTGTTTGGACCCCCCTGCTCTATCCAAAGAAACAGGAGGAAGGAAGAAAGCAAAGGCCACACGCATTATTTACTGCGGCCAAGAGCCAGAATTTGGCACAAAAAGCTCAGAGATCCTGGGGATCCGGAATTCTGCCAACCCAGCAGATAACATGTCTGCCCCGGGAATGTCCCTGCGGGGTAACATGACTACTGGTGCCTTGGATCACAGGCTCCACCACCGGGACGTGAAACACCAGCCCATGCTCTTGGCCACGCCCCCATCCTGGCCACACCCACACACTGGCATTCAGTCATTTTTACAAACAGAACATATCTAATGAACCATGAACCGCTGTCACATCCATGTCAAGGTGAGAAAACAGCCATTGAAGCAGCTCAGTAACAAAGGTACAATTTACAGATGTACCACAAGGGGGCGAGTGCACTGTCACCATAACTTTAAAGTCGTTTTTGGGTGGCATGGTTGCTCAGTGTTCACTGTTGTGGTCTCACACTTCCAGGTTTAGAGGGTGATTCCCTGGCTCTTTGTGTGTGAAATTTGCATATTCTCTAGTATGTTCACAAGGTTTCTTCATGATACTCCTCCTACAGCCCAAAAGCATCCAAAAAAATTCTCATACTGAGTATATGAGATCCCTGGCATCCCAACTCTGTGGTTGCGCCTCCCGGCTCCAGACCCGCTGTGACCCTTTGGAAGGTTCTGGGAGATGAATGGATCCGTGGGGGAAGCCAGCACCTCCGAAACGGTAACTGCGCTTGAATGTTCTGCAACCTGAGCTGTCTTAGTCAGCAGAATCCTTCACAGTTCATTCCTACAGACCCCCCATGAGACCATACCCGTCTCCTAAGGTACCATTGACACTCACTTTCATCTATATCAAAGCAAAGTGTGACTATTTCTCAACATATAATGGAAAGCAGTGAGGTGGCGAACTCTCAGGTTTATAATAAGGAGCCGCCCCCTGTGGGTATGGAACAGTCGGGTTCAGGAGAAAAAGCATCCAAGAGCGACTCCCCTAAATAGTCACATGGTAAACATGAAATGAACCAGAGCCAAAGAGGTCTACAGAGATGTCTTTGAAAGAATAACCTGGAAGCATTTTCCAGGGCAAATCCTTTCCTTGCTCATAACAGAGCGCAACATTTCTGTTTTTCTTTGCATTATTCTTCTCACTATTCTGCAGTTTGTGTGGAGTCGCCTGACTGGTAAACATTTGGATTTGGTGCTGCGGTACCCTTCTGTCCTCAAAACGAGTGTGTTACACTGGCAGATGGGGGGTGATGTGGGCGCAGAAAGGAATCATCTTCCCCTGAACATAGCAAGTGGGCAGCCCTGATGATACAGAGATAAGCACTAAGATAAGGGAAAGAACAATAAGCACTAATAAGAAATAATAATAATAAGAAGAAGAGTAATAATAATAACAATAAGTGGTGCATTGGGCAAGACAAATTTATGAAATGAGTACGTTTATGTTTTTTTAAGAAACTTTTTTTGCATACACAGGACATTCATTAAAATGTATTGCAAAAACTAAACACACTAGCTTTTCCAGCTGATTCAACTTTTTGACTCCCAAAAATGACTAAACGAAGGCTACTATAATGCACATGCCACTGCATTACAGGACAAACCAAAGGACAAACTAAAATACTACTGGACAACACAGGAGACAAAATATAGCTCTATAGGAAACCACAGGGGACAAACCATAGAACTATAGGAAAAATCATGCACAAAACCACAGAACTACAGTGAACAAAATACAGAATTACAGGAGATAACAGGAGACAAGCAACAGTAGTACAGGAAACCACAGCGGACAAACCACACCACATGGGGCAAACTACAGAAATGAAGAAAACCACATGGGACAAACCACAGAACTACAGGAAAACACGGGGGACAAACTACAGAACTACAGGAGGCCACAGGGGACAAACTACGGAACAACAGGAAACCACATGGGACAAACCACAGTACTACAGAAATCCACTGAGGACAAACCACATCACAGCAGGCCAAAGGGGACAAAATACAGCACTATGGAAGAAAATGGGACAAACCACAGCACTACAGGAGACATAGAGACAAAACACAGCACATCATCCTCCTTCCTAAAACTAACTGATG